TTGTTATAAATATATTAATCTAGAAAACTTTGCTATTTCGAAGGAGTTTTTATTTATTTACCATCATAAATATTTGGTAGAAAATAACAAAATATATATTTGATAGTAAGTGAAAAAAGAAAACTGTATGCATAGTCTAGATTTCTTCATTTTTCTACAACTTAGAAAGTTTGAAAAGGTTTGAGAATGTAACAAGATCGATTTCTTTTGTTTGATAGTATTTTACAAACATTTTGCTTGTGTGTACCCAGTAAAAATTTTTTGGAAAATAATGCGAGTAAACGCAATCGTCAAAACATGGAAAGCTATCTTGTCGTCTATTAAAGCGTTCTATAATTTTGAGAATGCGTTCTAATTCGGCAAGAATATGTCCTACTTCTCAAGGAAAGCATTCTTCGCCATTCCATGATATCTTGAAATGCTTTCTTCTTCGTTTGAAATCGTTCTTTTTCCTAATAGAAAGCTTTCTGAACGGTTCCCCTAACTAGTGAAAGGGTTCTCCTTCGTTCTTTTTCAGAACAGTCAGGATAGATTTCTTTCCTAATAAGATATTATTCTTTGACTTTCTGTAAAGAGACACCTGAGAATGGATTCTTCGAAGTACTGGCGCGTTTCAAGACAACGAAACATCATTCTTACAAAGGAAAGAACGCGTTCTGTGCTATGATCAAAATTGTCTGATGCTTTCTCGTGGATTAAGAATTGAGCTTTGAAAAATAGAATACATCCGCGACAATTTTTTTTTTATTGCAAATTAAAGAAAAAGATTAAGTTAGCAGAAGCAAACCGAACATATTTATTTAATGAGGAAATTCACCGATGAACTGAAAATATAAAATCGTGCACTTGCCTCAGATCTTTAACTGATAGTTAAATAGCCTGAAAAGTATCTTTTCATTAAGCACTCGATCAGAAGAAAATTATAAATTCCTTTTCTTTCCTCTTTTCCTTTCTTTTTTTTGAAAAATAAATAAATAATGTATAGTTTCCTCTTGGTCTTAATGTTTTAAAAAATTAAAAATTCTGGTTTTCATGTACTAATATTTTTTTTCGCATAAGTTCCTTTTTTAAATACACATATATTTAAAAATAAAAAAAAATAAAACTTTAATTTTGATGAAATTAAAATCAAGAAATAACTAAAAATAAATTGAAGGAGAATCAAATTCA